TATTTATGAACACAGGCCTTTGTGCACTGCAAACATCAGGAATCAAATCCTTTTCTCTACATAGCCTCCTTACATCTCTTTTTAGCAATCTGATAGATTTTGGTATATCCCATTTTCAGTAAAGGAAAAGAGGTAGCAAGGCAGAGAAAAAATGTTAGCTTCTATGTTTGAGCAAATTATCCATAGGAACATGCAGCGTAAAAGTTTTTAATTCTGTACAACATGAATTTCTATAAGAGCAACATTCAGTCAGCAAATTTTTGGCTCTCTACAGATGCCATCATCCACTGCAAGAGTCATCGTTCACCAATTCTATCCAGTATTTTTGATCACTGGATGCAAATGTAGTAAAAGAAATCTAGTCTACCTCCTCTCTGTCATTTTCCCAGAATCCCCATTAGGAAATGTTACTTTAATGTCAGTGAAAACCAGTATTAACCATGCATTATCTCCTCATGCAAAATGCAAATGGAAGATGAAGAATTTATTTTCCCTCTCTTGAGCTCAATTTCTTCTCCTACCCTCTATACCTCTTACTCTTTTGCAAAAATTCCTTATGCTTCCAAAAATGTCTAACTCCTCAAATCTATATATATATACCCACCAAGTACTCACAAGAGCAATCTAATGGGAGCTTTTCTATCTTGCTGTTATAATTCCCAATTTGGAAAAGACAAAACAAAACCCAAAACAAACAAACCACAACACACCAAAAACACCCCATTAAATTCTATGCAAAATGCCTGGTAAGATTTCATTTCCTCTGCCAAAACCAGACAGTCTAACTCCCCACATATAAATTAGGCCGCATGGTTGAGAGCTGCAAGGGATGAATTCCTCATTTTTGCAGAAATGCCAAACCAGCACACTAAAAGGAGAGAACTTTCTCACGTTTGTCAAAGGACCACAAAGTAGCCTGACTGAAGAGGTGATGGGGGGATTTTGGGGGCTGGTCTGAGTCCTTTTTATCCAATACACACCTAAGAAATTAATTTTGCCATACCACTTTAAAAGTAAATCTAAATCTTTTGATAAGGTTACCCATACCATTTCCTAACTTTCTTCAAATGACCAATATGTGTAGAAGGCATTTAGCTGGGTAAGCAAATTTCCTTCCCAGTATACTCTTGTGCTCTGTTTCCCAGTGAGGACTACGAGATGAGCTTTCTAACCTGCACTGTGCTCGCTTGAGTATACACACAACTGTAACAGAAAAGGGTTTGGCACTAAATTCATTTTAACTATTTTTAATTTTTAGTTTTGGAGGTAGTTTGGGTTTTTTGGTGTTTTGTGGTTTGGGTTTGTTTGTTTGGGTTTTGTTGTTGTTGTTGTTTGATTTTTAAGGGAGGGGCTGTTCTCTGTCCTGAAATCTCTGCTCTTGTCTTTAAGGAATTTACTTATTTTTCCACTGCATCAATATTAGTTAAAAGGCCCTTATGTTCTTTTGCAAGGTTAATTCCACTCCATTTTTAATCCAGTGAAATGCAGAAAGGCTTTGGGGTTTTTTTGTTGTTTTTCTTTTCTGTTTGTTTGTTTTTTTTTTCCAATATGTGTGTTTGTGCACATAAACATTATTTTTTTCCCCATCTTAATTCTCCAAAAGCACAGATAAGAACTCCTTTCAGTTTTCTTAAACATAGGCATTTGCCACCATTTGAGATGCATTTGGGTTTGAGACCTCATCACAGGCTGGTAAGATGCAATTATGACATCTTAGACACTCAAGCCCTTCTGGAAATCAGGTGAAGTATTGGTACCTCAAGTGGCATTAGACATCTAACGTTTAGGCAACAGCATTAAGCCTCTAAGATTTCTGACTAAGAACTGTAAACCCAGGAACACTGCCAAATACACAAATCTTGAATATTAGTCCCATTAAGGAGGAAGCAGCATGTCCTTGGCTTAGGCAGCTCCTTTCTGTCTCTGATCCATACTTTGGGGTTTTTTTCCCTTTTCATTCAAAGTTCTTGCTTCATGGTTATGGGCAGAGTTCCATGCCCAGAGCAAACAGCATCAGTGGCTGGGAGCCTGCCTGCCAAATCCCTGCTGTCAGTGCATCCATTTGAGAATGTTCTACTCATTAGTACAGAAGCTTATGTAAACACATAATCAAAGTCATGAAATTCTCTTTTTTATATACACTAAAAATATTATCCCACCTGAAACAGACTGACAAACACCAAAACATTTAAAATAATAAATTAAGACACTTTCAAATATTTCCAATCAACAGACACCACCACTAAGGCTTAATAAAATGAAGATGATGTTAGACTTTAATAACCTATATTATATCCCTAGTATCAGAACGAAGATTATTTCTAAATCGTATACTCTGTGTGTGCGCACACATGTGTTTACTTCAGCTAAAATTGCCCAAGAAAGGTTGAATGTGTTGCATTGTGCTGAAGGAGAGCTTCTACACTGAACCATTATTATGAAGAACGAACATCAGCTTATACATCAGTCAAATTACAGTTGTATTAATCTTAAACCCAAACAATGTCGTAGTTCCCTAGGTTTTAAGTGGTTGTTACTGCAAAAGGAAATGGTGAGAAAGTTCCATTTCACTGCCAGTTTGGGAAAGCTGTTAGAAAGTCTTTTTTCCTTTGTAATGCACTTGGTCTTGTATCTCTCTACCCACAGGACTTGCATCCCATTGAATGGATAATTAACTTCATTTTCAATACATAAATGACCAACTGCTATGATACATTTCTGTGGGGTAACATTGTTCTACTCAAGAAAAACCTAAGTTCCTTTTACATTGTCACTGCTAGACAACCTGTTTTAAAAGCTGTGTTTATTTTCCTTTACAATGAAGTGGCACTAAGAACAGGCAAGAAACTGTCATTTCTTATGCAGGTATTTTTCAGAACTGTCACAATAATTTCAAAGCAGATGAAGTAATGTATTGTTTAGTTACCAGAAGCCCGTCAAGATGCTCTAATATTCAATACATTGATTTTCTAGCTCAAATAGTCAAACACATATTTCTTGTACGAGTGGGAATTGTGAGAAGATACCACACGAAACATATGTCAGGTTAATGTCACATGTTCCCTGGGATTCCAGGGTCAACAACACCGAAAATTAGATGATTAATCTCAAATACTGCACATTCCGTATTTACGCCAATATCAGAACACAAAGAAGTCAATGTAATCTACAAGCTGGTTTGTCAAAGTATTAAGATTTCAGTTTAAAGATGAGATTGCAGACTGCAAGTTCTACCTCATAAAATTACATTATTAATAATCAGCGTCACATTAGGATGACTAACTTGCTAAAAGAAGAACACAAGTCCAGGGCAACTGCAGAGTTAAAAGCAGTACTAGAGGGGAAGAAAAAAAAGCACAAAACTGAAAAACAATCCAGACATCCCCAGACAATGAACTCCGATACCCTTTTGAAAATATTCAAAGTAACAAGAAGTTACATACAAGAAAGGATGAGCCTCATATTTTAAAAGTACAAAACTAATTTAGCTACATATACTGGTGAGGTTGGGGTGGGTTTTGGTGTTTTCTTTCCTTTCTACAGTATCAAATATATCCTTGTCTTTTCCTGCAGCATTTTTTTAAAATAAAGAGCAGTATTTGAAAGCAATTTATACTGAAACAAACCTAAAGCCCTTTATTTTTATAAATATCCATTCTAAATTCCTATTGCAGAAAAGCTGACAAGTGTAAACATCATCTAATCAAAACAGCAATAGGTTATGTGCTTCCAAGGGCGTCCGCGATGTCATTAGCGCATGTGTTCTTTGAAAAGAGTATCTGATTTGTGTCAGTCATGTCTATAGGGAGGACTCTGAAACTTTGTCAGTCAAAAAGAGATCATTATGATGATGATGGACACCAGTATCACTTAAATGCTGCAATGGAATGTCTTTCTGGGATGTGTTTTGCTTTTTTTTTTTAAACCAGGATTCCATTCAAAATTTATTACCTCTTTTCAAGATTCACTACTCATCCACCAACATTTCAGAGCATCCTACATACAAAAAATCCTCAAACAAAGCAACATCTAGAGTCAAAAGCTCTCCACAATGAGCTGCTTGAGTACAACATTCCTCACTGACATCTCTGAAGAAAAAAGAGTAACTAGTAGAGAAAAGAAGTGTCTTGAATCTGTTATTTATAGCGAGGAAAGTGAATTTACATTCAGTGCTAGCATTAAAGTAGTAATAATGCATGCTTCACAAAAAAAACTCTTAAATATAACTCAGTTTTAATAATTAAATGTGTGCTTGGAACAACAGTTTACATACCAAAACAGCAAAGTGGATTTCAGTAATTATACAACAAACTAAGGGAACAGAAATTCAGTATTTCTTATCTTTATAATATAGGCTGTTTCGAGCATTTAGAAAGCAGTCCATCCATTTATTAAAAAAAATCACAACAAACCAAAACCAAACAACACCTTCAACACTGCTGTGAAATTTATTTTTAAAAGGAAAAGTCAGTGGATCTGCTTTCACTCTCAAAGGATATGCTACTGAAAGAGAGGAAATGTATCTTCTTATTGCAAAAATAAGAATGAGATCCTAGCTTACTGTTAGGGGACTTCAGTGTTGTGGCCGGAGATATTTTTCTAGGAAAAAAACTAAAAGGAGCTGTTACTAAAATGAGCATTAGACAATTTCAATTTACACATTCCTGTTCTCCAGGTGTGGTTTAGAACAAGAACCATCTATTTGACTGTTCGGGATCTGCGAAGCAGGTCTTGCACAAAATAGCCACAAATGTTACTTTCTATTCAACAAACTGAGCTCAGTTCTCACTTTAAACTATTATGAGATCCTTGCCAGTGTTATCCCTGACAATATTCTCAGATCTCAAAAATGAAATATTTAAATACTTAATGAAAGCTAATACTGAACTGCTATACTCAGCAGAAAATTTAAATTCAGTTCAGCAAAACATCTGGCATGGAAAAATAAACTACAGGAACAAGTTAGTGCTCTGTCACAGGGTAACAGACCTACCATTCATTCAGTCAGAGTTGTGGTCAATACTTCCACTAAAAAACTTGTTTATCAAGAATTTATGATGGGAGTTATTAAGCAGCTACATCTCAAACTGATTTGCAGACAAAATTTTCTGTAAATTCAAAGAGCTTTTCTATTACTTAAAAAAAAAAAAAAAAAAAGAGAACACGAAAAACCTGTTGCATCCCTTCACAAACAGAAGATAAGCTTTTAAAAGCTTAATTTCCACAATTAGATATATCTCCCCACCGGATAAGTCTTCCTAACACTCAGCCCATTTTCCCTTGTCTGTGTTTCAATCTGCAAGTCACTTTCTTTTTCTTTTTTTTTTTTTTTTCTTTTTTTTTTTTTTAACTGCCTCAGCAAGCATCCTTGAAGCACCGGGAAACATCATTGCTCCACTTGACCTCCACCTACCAAAATCTGCTTCTGCTGAAGTTCAACAGACAAACAAAAACAAGTCCCCAACAATTTGACATTACAACAGCTGTAGCCCTAATCAGCCACTGACTTCAGAAGGCAAAATTCTGCATTTTTGAGGACACTGTGGCAATAGAAGCTAAAAACATTATAAACTTTGAAATGGCTCACAGTGATAGCTCAAACAATGTTAAACTTAAGACTGACCAGGCAGCATCGTTCTAACTGGTGGACTTCCTTTGAGGAAGCAACAAAATACAAGATGATCCCTTTTTTATAAAACTAAAATGCATTTCTTCATTAAATAGAAATAACAACAACAACAAAAATCACACCATCCTCTACTGCTGGGACTATTAACACAGCAGGTAGACATAACTACCTTAGGCCTAGCTACAATTTTCCAGGGTACAATGAACACTATCTTCCCACCTTTAGCACAGACAATTAGTACTTACTCGTTGCCCCAATTCCATCACCATTAAGGTAATACATATAAAAAAAAATTTTGTTCAGACCATTTTCTTCATGCCATTTTTTAAATAACAGTGCTGACCTATGACACTTGCTAGCAACGCTTTCCAAAATTGACATTGTGCATTTGACCCATCCTAATCCACCCAAGATCAAAATTTGCTACTTACAGATACCTTATTCATAACATAGATACAAATAGTTCTTAAAAAAAAAAAAAAAAAAACAAACAAAAACAAAACCAAACACACAAATTGAACAACATTTACTTCATAACTTTGAAAAGGAAAATATTATCAAAAATAAATCAATGAATTCATACATCTGACTTGAAAAACATGGGGTTTTTAAACAATTGGCACAGGATAAAAAAGATTCTGCCTTTAATCCAAGGAGGTGTGGCAGTCATATTCCTCAAGACATGCATCTTGGAAAGTTAACCAGGAATGTCTTTTAAAGCATAGCAATCAACTGAAAAAGTAATTTGACAACTCAGATGACAAACTTGAGTTTCATAGGTCAGATTAGTTTGGAACAACATAGTAACAAGGAAACTGCTGATCCTCACTGCTGCATTAAGCCAGGGTGAAGACTTAGCCTTTGATTATGTACCAAGGCACAGAAGTTGACTAATTGGATTCAGTTCAGGACTGCAAAAAGGGCTGCTTCACAAGAAAAGCATCCAGTCAAATTGATCCAAAGAAACTTTGGTCTACCAGACTATAGGTAATGGCGTCAAAAGAACACATAAGGTACGTGAAGAAAGGAAAAAAGGAATCCACTAACATAGCAACACTTACACAGACACAAAAGAAACTATTTTATAAGTCTTGGACTACCATGTTGGCAAGACAGTAAAAAAGCAAAGCAGCAAATAAGCCTCAATAAAACTAAAGGATAACTACACTCTAAAGTGCAAACTATCCTTCTTTAATCTGACTAGTAGCCAAAAAGAAGTCACCTTTAGTCTTCTAATAAATCATGGATATTTGTATTCCAAGGACATTTGCCCTTTTTTTGTTGTTGTTAAATTTTAATGTTTTTTAAATAGGTCAACTTGGAGTCTTAGCATGGTGACTTTTTTCAAGCCCTAAAGCTACATCTAGAAAACATTACCCTTCATAGTACCCCGCTTTCACGTTTGGGGACATCATGATATGCTCCAGCAAGATTTCTGATCTGGACAATCAAGGGACTGAGGCTGCAGGGCACAACATACTGTACCACACACCATGCTGTACAATTGCTCTGTAATTAGAAACAGACCAACCAAATACAAACAGAATCAAATTGGCTTCTTTTAAATTCTCTTATGAACTGCCAGAGAAGCACTTGTTTTGAATTGCATTTATCAAAGAAGCTCCATATTAAATTTTTTTAAAAAGATAAAATTTACAGTAGTAAAAAATCAGAAGGAAGACACTAATTATGATAGTATCAGCTGAACTCCAAAGACCCTACATCATTTCACTTTAGTTTATAATGACAGCCCCAAATTCTATCTTCAAGCATTCTTGGCAAATAAGCAGCTTTAAATATGAGACCAAACGCAAATAATTACTAACCTTTCTACATTGACTGGCTTGTCAAATTTAAATAGAATATAATCCCCAGCAACTGGTGTGACAGCCCAGAAAAAATCTTCCCCTACGTAGGTTTTTTCTAGCGTATGCCCTTGGTAGACTTTTAAAGATGTCGAAACCTCTGCAGGGGGATTCACATGGATTTTATGCAGTAATGGTTTCAGGAAGTCTTTATCCTAATTGAAAGAAAGACAAACGTCATGCTAGTCAGATAACCTGTTTCATTATATTATTTTCCCAAGTTACCACACTTAAAACAAACACTTGCATAAAATGGAAAATTAATGCATTACTCCTTTTTGGGTGTACCAGATCTTGTACTGATTAATAAGACGAACATGTCATTAAAGTAAAAAAACTAGAAAAAATATCCCCTAGCAAAAATCCACAAAAGAGCAGAGATTAGCACTTCTTATACTTGATAGTAACCAGTTTAAATAAGATTTCATTCCAACTGAAGTAATATACAACATGCTTGAAAAAGACAGACAACAAGCCTGTTTTCTCAAAGGCTACAAAGTTTTTCATTCAATCAGCCTGCTCTGGAAAGGAAGGAAAATTTTAGCTACTAACTGTGAGTTTCTGGATCTTCCCTGCTAGAGAGGAATGGAGGCCAACATGCTGGAAAAGGGAAGGCCTGAAGCGTATCCGCAGGTTAGATTTCTGTCGATCACAATGTTTCTGAAATTGAGGAGGGGAGGAAAGGGGGGGAAAAAAAGAAAAATCACGTTAGCAAAATCAACACAAGGTTGCTGAGTTTTTACTGCAAGTATGTGATGTTACATGAACCAGAAAGACTCAACAAGAACCCAGATCTATTTATCCAGTTGCTCTTGTTTTCATTCCAGAAATATACCAAGACTGCTGTGTAAATATAATACTGGTCAAGGTTCTTGCACAGATCCTGCTTATTCAGTCTTTCAGCAAGGGTGCTACCTGAGAAATGAAGGACCAAAATCCAAAGTTTATTCCTTATTCAGAACCTTCTCTATGACTGCTATCCAAGCAGTGGCATTCTGCAGAGCCTCAGTGCGGGTTACATGGATGAGTTTATTTTAGGACTGTTACACAGATAAAATAACTAGATTTTTGCTTTCCATCCTACTGCATCCATCTCCAAAATCTGAAACAATAACAGCTACAAAGCCCCTGAGAACTGCCTCTCTAAAGTTTTTTTTGAGATTAAAATCTTGGTAGGAAGAAAGACTCTTTCAGGACATGCAGTAACCACAACACACAGCATGCTAGCCTCCAGCTCACCAAAACCAACACAATCACCATAATGAAAACAATTTAGAAGCTTTATAATAAAAACAAACTTACAGCATCTTTCTCAGGGTTACACACTTTCACCCAGAGGATATGGTCCAGGAGCCAATCAATAGGTTTCTCCTTATAAAACATAAATATGAACTCTACAATAAGAGTGATATCTGGAGACTGGAACATTTTACCTGTGATGACATTAAGATCAACTGTAATTATTTTAAAGATAACATTGTCTTTTGAAATCAGTGAGACAATAGATGATAAGTTTGTGCCAAGACAAGAAATGTTAGCAATGTCATTAAAAGCTCTATACCTTTCAGCTATACAAAACTAAATAAAACAACTATTCAAACAAGAACTCACAATATATCTTGGTGTTATCAAAACATTCAATGGATATTACAACACAGTCTCCTTAAGAATAGAAATTGTCAGTCTGCAAAAATAGAGAAAGAAGAGCTATGGATTCATGTCTGTTATCCTCCATGCCATGTGTAAGCTTCAAGCATCTGAGACAAAGAGTTGTCACAAGTGCTATCTGCCCAGTCACACAATTTCAGCTTTTGCAGGTACAAAAAGCAGAGATGGAACACATACCACTAATTCCAGATCCTCCTCTGTAGAAAACCAAAAGGAAAGAAGGAAGCTACCAGAACAACTAGAGACAACACAACTTAAAAAAAGAGACATCACATAGCAGCGATCAGAGTTCTTTCCAAAACGCATAGGCCATCAGCAAACTCATACTGAGGGCATTTCCAACTGAGCACACTCAAAGCAGTCAGCTGCCTAGTAGAAAGTCTAAGTCCCTTCCATAAACGAAACTGCAGAACTTCTTCGCCGAGTACTGACAAGACTTTGGGGCTTCCAAGACAGTATACTGCCTGGTCAAGTATAGATGGGACTTCTGGGTGGCACTTTGTTACAGGATTCTTGGGAACCCTGCGGACTGTGAGGCTTAAACGAGGCCCTGCCAAAAGAAGAGAACTTATTGTTGACAAAGAAAGTCTATTTATTATCAACAAGAGCAACTTTTTACGTGGTTGTGGAATACACTTCACTGCCAGTACAGGTGCCTGAAGAGAAAGGTGGCCAACACACTGGGCTATTTTGTTAAAATGAATGCAGCACTTCAGAAAAGTGCCTTGTATGAAGACACTGCTACCAAGAGCAAGATGTAACTGGAGTAGGTCAGTCCAAGGCCGAAGACAGACTGACTGCAAGTGCTTGTACCAGGGACTGAGCGCCAACTAAGCTCCCAAAGGCAGTTTCAGATTTGAGGGCAGATTCAGAAAACATCAACAGGTTTGCAGTCTGCCTCTACTTTGCTAGGCTACAATGGTGGAGGCAAGGGAAAAAGACATTACATGACAACGAATCTCTTAGGAGGACACTGGCTGAAGTGATTTCAGTTCTGCAGATGGTGTTGAGATGTGGGCAGTGCTGACTTAGGCATGGGCTCTTGGGGCACATGTGCATTAATAGATCGGAGTCCAATAGAAGCTCTTCCCCCATGCAAGTCTTCTGTCTGTCTACACTTGGAAGTTCTGTACAACACATTAACACACAGCACTCAGGCACGTGAAATGTTATTTTTTTCCACTTGTAATCTCTGAGGCCCTCATAGGCATCTTAAATAACAAGTCCCACATGTGGTAGAGGTCCTAATATTTTCTCCTTCTACATTTAGGAAGAACAGCTGGAGTAGACATTAAGAACAAGTTCCTCTCTGAGGTGGCAAAAACACTTCCCACACTCATCAGAAAATGCGTTTTGGCTCTCATCTAAAGAGGACATAATTCTTTGGAAAGGCTACTAAGGACATGTACAGGCTAGTCCGATGACAAACAAATAGGGAATAACATTTTGTATGAAGCTTAAAAACTATCAGCAGTGCAGCACTCTACTTGAGCAGGTGGTTGAGTGGAAATGAAGAAATGGTGCAAGAAGTCTACCTTATTTAGCCATTAAGGAGGATGTTCACATTTATATAAACAGAAGAGAGAGGATATACCTGAAGTACCACCCTGAACCAGTACTACAGAAAAGGTAAAAAGTTATCTGGTCTTAAGTGATTAGGAACATACATTTTCACTGTGAATGTACGTGTGGACTATCACTCATAGCCAGACATTCAGTCACTTTTCTTTCTTTTGAGGTTCACTGAAGTTTGTAATTGATAGAAGATTATCGCAAGGCAGCACAAAAAAAACCCAAGGAGCTGGGAGTTCAAATCCCTGCTCTAACAGGGATGGAAAATTTCTCTACCGAAACAGGTGACTGAGCCTGGCACATTATACAATATTGCAGAGTAGCTATAGAATGCCAGGTTGTTAGCTTACATATATTAGCAACAAAGATATTTTTAAGAGAAAGCATCAAAGTTGCAGGGGCCCTGTTATGTGTGCTCTGACACTGCCAGGTATCAGATGCTTAAATATGGAGATTTACTTCGAGAATGCCAGGATCTTGAATTGCAAGATCCTTTATTTTCTCAAAAAGAGGACACATACTTAGGAGATCACCTTAGGAGATCCCTTGATGCAATCTCATTCCCTTATGACTTGTATGAAATTGAAAAAGAACACAGCCAATGGAATAATACTTACTTTGGAATTCTGAGATGAGTTTGTAAGGGTCTGAGTGAGGCTACATCATGGTACAGTGCAATAAATACAGAAGAAGCATCCGACAAAACTCCCAATTATTTCATCTGTTGGAATTATGCTATATTCATAAAGTAGACCATTCACACCATGGAGTGGAGAAGTAAATGTGGTAAGACATTAACTGACTGACATTGCTAAATCAAAGCTGTCCCTTACAAGAACCTTTAATTTGGCTCTTTATAAAGCAAAAACATCATGAGCACTTGTAAGTGCTTGTTGCAGTGAGGTCCTCAAATAGGCATCTCCACTTGAAAATACTCTGTAACTAAAATTTGAAGCTCCCACTAAACAAAGGACAGCTCCTACTAAACTAGGGACAACTGCAAAGCTTTCTTCTTTAAAGACATAAAAAAGATGCTATAATTTTTTGGTTAGTATATTGCTACTATTTACACGCTATATTGTTGTCATATTGTTTAACATTATTTGTGGAACTAAATATTTTAAAACGGGTAGGAAACAATCATATGATTTGTACAATGTTGTGCAAAACATTCATGTAGAATAACAGCCCTTTCAGCCTGTCACACTTCCAACTAAGAGTGCTCCCAATTTTCCTGGTGATTCATCTCTGCCTACTGCTTTCAACAGCACAGGGCAGGAGAAGAGAAAAATATGAGAAACCCTAATCAAACACCAGCTGAAAAATGGGACTAATCGGATGTTTCTGGGATGTTTATGGAACTGAAATCATCATTTCTAGATGACACCTGCTGAGGCAGTCTGTCAGTGACACCTGCTTCCATAGGAAGTGGACCTTTCCATGTGGTGACAGAGAGATGCACAATACCATGCGATACAGAAGACAAAAACATCCCCACATTATTGCTCCCATCTCAATGGAAGCAGACTGACTAAGGAGAGAGTTTATCCTCTTCCAGGAGGGATACACAGTCATGCTGCTCTGGAATCCTTTTCTTCTTCTACCCAAGGACAGAGCAAGAGAACCACACTGCACATTTTTTCCTTTGACTAGCACATCTTCTGAAGAGCACAAGGATTACAGTCTTCAGTTGTCATCTATGGTGAAAACACACCCACAGACCATGTCACTTAAAACCTGAATGTTAAGGTACAAGATCCTTACCTACAAGCAAATAAGCAGAGAACAAGACTGAAGGTTACAGTAGGAATTTACTCTTTTCCTAATTTAAGTTATCCTAATTTTACCTAAAATAGAAACAGGATATCAACACATTATTTACTTCCATATGACAAACTTGTATAGGCCCAGAGGCACTTTTCTCTAGGCCTAGATTGGCATACTACTGTCAATCATGCAGTCAAACACTCCTGACTCAGGCAATAATCTAGTTAACATGGTAATGTCACAGGATGCAGCAGGAAATACAAAATAAAACTAAACCAACCAAAAAAACCCAGTCTGATACATCCAACTGCAGCTAGTCAGGATCTGTTTGGTAAGCAACAGCTGGCTGTACCTGCACTAGCATCTTCAGACCCAACTGGTCTCTCAACATTACACTGCCCAACACCGTGGAAGGGTTCAACAGTGCAGGCAAAGCCTTCTCACTTTAATTCATAATAATCACTGGAGCAAAGATAAAGTGGCAACACCCTGCTCTTGAGACAAGCCCTTGTCTCCCTTCAGTAACCAAGTACAGACAACCACACATTACTTGCCATCCTCCGCTTGGCACAGCTTTGCCCCAGCTCTTTGCCTTTCAGTATAACACAGCATCCTTCCTCTGTCATTTCTGCCTCAGGACACCACCAGCACAGCACAGCAGTACTGCCATGGATCAATGTTCCCCCTTTTCTCCCTCAGAACATTCTTCCTACACCAGCTCAAAAACAGGCCCCTGCAGTGAAGCCCCTGGTAAAACAGGCCTTCAAAGATCTGGACCCCTGACTGTTCCCAGCTACTCCTTGTGATGGAAGACAGCCCAGTACAACTCCGACTCCACAGATCCTACACCTCAGCCTCTCTGAATCCAAACCAGCAAAGCCCTTGCCTAGCCTCTCCTGAGTGAAGGTAGCAGCAGCAGCCTGGCTTCCCTAGGGCATAGCCATAGCCCAAGAACAAGAAGCAGCATTTGCCAAGGTCCTGCAGTCCTGTGGCCTCCCATGCAACTGCAGGCAAGGAAAGTACTATGAGCCATGGAGCCACTGAGATGCCATCCAAACCCAACCTACAGATTGCCCACTGGCCATCCCCAATATGCAGTCAACAATCATCAAGCCAAAGAGACCTAAGCAAAAACTGCAGTCAACACACACTGCCGCAAACCAAGGACAATGCGAAAGAATTAAAGCAATGGCTCATCTTCCACCGTGTTCGTGCACTTGGTACAGTGCATGAGAACAAACATAACTCAAGGAGACACTGTGGACAAAATTTCAGAGGTTTCAGATTCTGGGTGCATACAACCTAACCTCGGAAAGAAACTTCAAAATCCAAAAGAATTAAGACTCAAAAGTAAAATCTTGCTCCCTAAATCTCTTGAGATCTACAAAATGTGAAGAATTTTTCCATATTATTTATCTACAGTGACAAAAGTGAGAGCCAGGACTGAAAAAAAAAATATCATGGAACATTTTCCGCTATTTATTATGCCCTACCAAGACTGATTTTCAGTCCATTTAAATGCTGTCCTTAGTGAACTATTCTGGCCCTCTCAGTATTTTGTTGGCAAGTGCAAGACACACACAAAATGAAAACTTTTGTTTCCTACAGTTCTCTGAACAGCAAATATCTAAATAATTCATTTTCATTTTTCCACGTAAGCACCACTAAATGTATTCAGTCTACACCAACAATAATTTTATACCTGCAAGCACATATTCTAACTATAGTTGAAGTCTTTTAATGCTTTCCCTGTTAATGATATGCAAATTACTGGCATTAAAACCAGAACCTCTTTGAAGTTATTTGAATCTCAAATATTTGACTTGATCTACTCTTCCCCAAACTTCAACTATGTGTACAGCTTGAGCAAAACTGCAATCAGAAGAACTTCAAACAATCAGAACAACAGGCCTTAAAACATCAGGGCACAGTACAATTCAAACAACCAAAAGGCTGATTTCAGACTGCTCCATCAAAAGTTTGTGACAGCTGGCATTATAGCTACAGTGCAGAGTATTGCAGATCTTCTGGAAAACACTTCAGCTCACAAGCAATTGGAAGACAAATCAATATTTCTCATAAAAAGCTAGTAAGACTTTCCTATGTTGTGTCAGGGACGACAGTGCAAATCAGAATCCAGAAGAGCAAAAGATGCATCTCTTTCCACAGAACTTCTTAGGGAAACAGCACACATCTCACCCATTATTTATTAGATACTTGACAGCACTTAAGACTGTGCTTTCAGTATTAAAAAAAAACAAAGGAAGCAAGTTCTGTTCTGTGGCAGAGGTGACAGAATTCTGTAATCTTGCTGTCAGCCTAAATAGCTACATTTGCCACTTCCTCATGTAGTGCTTGCATAAATTAGATTTCCAGTTCAGAAACACACTACGGCAAAAAACATTTTTACCTAGCTATTTTGCAAGATGATCAAAGTTTCCAAATCAGCCACACCTTACTTTTTTAGATATTATTTCTACATCAGTAGCATCAAGGCAATTCAGTGCTCTACTTCCTCTCTTAGACATCTACACATAAAACTCACCCCCAGTTACAAACAACTACTTTTGCTCTTCTCCGTAGCTAGCTGCATTACCAAATTACCATAGAATCAGTCTGCGAAGATCCATAAAGGGATAGCAGGGATGAGGCAAATCTACATTACTTGGATAAAATTTCTGTGCAACATATGGTTATAGCACACCAATGTGTCTAAAAGCCAGAAGTTTTAGTCAGTTTCATGAATACCAATTTTTCTCTCAAAAGCAGGACAAGCAGCTAAATTAGGAGAAAAAAATCTAATTCAATTTTCTAAGTAGAAAAGCAACATTAAGATGTGTAGCCATAGCTAAATGTATCTGAAATTCTGCTGATGCCATCTAATTAAAATGAGGCAAGCAAATATGATACAAGGAACAAAGAACAGGGATGCAAGCAGTTGGAGCTAACAACTAAATTTAACTACTACTATTTTCAGAGCCTACACTGAAAAAAAGTATATAGAGAGTATAGAAAAACAACTTTAAAATATTTTTAAACAGTTGTGCAACTGATTAAGCCAAATCTCAGCATTAAGAACTATCTACCTACACCTTCTGGCTTAGACAGTGTGCCCTCTATAGCAGCACTGAGAACAGAAAGGGGTGTGAAACACACAAACACACAAATACTAAGTGATCTGAAATACACCTGCATGGGGTAGACAGTGCATGTCCTAAACTGTAAGTTGGTTTTATGCCTATTTTGATGTCAGTCTTACAAAACTGTAATTTGCAAGTGATTACACTCTACTACAAAATTAAGCAAATGCAGAATGAATGTAAATTACTTCTATAGCGTAGGAACTTCACTCAGAATTCACATTTAAAGTGCAATTAGGACTGGAGCTAAAACTAACCTCAACTAAGCCCATACTTTAACTGTTCAAAAGTAGAAACAAAGCCTAACCAGATGATGGTATTCAACCAGTCTTGGCAGCTAGAGAATCACAAAGAGTTGCAAGGGGCTTCCCAACAGAGGAGACAAGTCTATTTAGGGCAAAAACTCCAGTAAATTATTTAAATGCGTATTTCTAAATGAGGCATCTCTAGTATCTGTTTCTCCCTTCCGCCTCTGAGTCCTGTAACTAGCATCCCTGTTGCTAGTCCAAGGCAACGAAGCAGACCAGTTATGTGGTGGTCAGATAGATAAGAAGACTTCCCTCTGCCCATATCCTCTCCTCCTCTCCTTTGTTTCTGTAGGTTAGACTGACAGGCAAATGTACAAAATACCATTTTGTACCCTAACATAGCATGTTTAGGAGATAATTGCTGTTTTCCATTCTATCAGTGAATCTTTGAGACTTTGAAAGTCAGGGAACTGTTGCCTCAGCAGCACACCTGATGCTAGGCTGGAAACAGGATAGTACTTGCCGTTCACACAATGCCAACATTCTCAGTGCTACCATTATGGGTCACTGAGCTAAAAATGAAGCTGTTCTCTGGAAAGCAGATCCAAAGTACAAACAAGAGGACAACAAGAATTTCTAAGAGAAAGACAGAACTCAGGACTGCACTGTATCTGCTAGATGTAGGATTTTCTTCCTGTTCTGAGCTCAAATCACAGCCTTTGCATTGAAATCGTTTGTGTTGACTACATACAGGAATCTCCACAGTTTGACTTAACTTTTGGTTTTTCCTCACATATCACCAGCTTAGCACTTTTAAACAGATCATGACACATCACTACAGTAATGAAATAACCTTTTGATTTGTAAAATCCCTTCAAACTTCTCTTCATTGCTTGATTTGTAAAATCCCTTCAAACTTCATTGCTCTTGTGTTAAGTCTAGTACCTCTCAACAAAAATATACTAGTGTAAGAGCAAAGAACCATCAAGTAATTTCAGTAGCACCCTGTCAGTCAATCCACAATAGCCCAAGATGCTGCATTAGCTTCTCTCACTGTTGTTCACTGCAAATAACAGACAGACTCTGACTATGCGTAAGAAGGAGCAGACTGTCACAACTTCTCCTTGATGGAGTAGAAAGGTAGAGACAGAACAGGATTTGCAACCAGAAAAACTGATGCTTCCTGATTCTTGGAAATTTTGTCACAAACACCAATGAAGCTGTTTTAGGTGGAGTTAATTTTCATCCTTTTTTATTTTACTTCAGTCAGTTGTGTTTTAACGACATTTTTGTTTTAACAGCAGCTAAATTCAAAATAGGTCATTCCTTGCAGTTTGACTGTTATATTTTTATAAATTAATTAACTTTTGGTTACAAAAATGTCCCCTTTTCCAACAGTTTGAGTTTGCCTCAGTCACACAAAAGTATATGAAACAACTGGGAAAAAAAATCTTCCATGAGATGAACCACAGTTCCTAAAAAAGGCAATGAATTTCTGCTTCTTGGTCTACTTCTAGTACAAAGAAGATAGCTTTGAAGTCAGATCACTATTAATTCACAGAGTGTCAGGATGAATGTGTTAGAACTACTAAAGTGAACATTTTCTTACCAATGAAACCCAGCTGAGAAAATTCTAGAATCATCCAATCTTCAGAAGCGAGCTGAAGTGCAAAATTTTTTATTGTGCTGAAATAATTCTGCTTGACAACGATGTCATCTTCAAGCTAGAGGAAGGTAGCAATGATATCAACATAAATAAACAAAGCAACAGCAAAGCAGTAGGAAAAAGTACAGCCAGAAAATACTGATTTATAATATATTGCTAACACATAGCCATACATTTGTAATGCGAGCGCTGCTATAAAGCCTAGACGCTATAGCCAACAATAACTATCGTAGGGACCACAGCCTGCCTATCTGTGGAGAACTAATCCAGAATCTTTCCGCAGTAAGAATTCATAAATGTATCTCAACTTATTCCTTCAGAACATCGCTTTTCTAGCTTCTCTCTTCAGAGAAAAATCATCCATGAAATAATGTCACATGATCAGCAGAACAAGTAGAATATCTGTATTATTTGTATGTAAACGTGACTCTCTTTACTCGCACACGTAACAGCACTGAAGGAATTTATCCTCCGAGACAAGAAGCTAAGAGACACTTTGTCTACAGAGGTGGGATTCATTTCACCTGGCTTTAGCGCTCTGACAGAAGAACAGGTGCATAGTCCAAACTAATTATCTAGTCCAGGCAGCAGAACTGTCAAGATGAGGTGCTACAATCCCTTTAATGCATATGCAGGCTACTGCTTTAAGGATCCTGCTTCTCCTGTCCTTTCTCCCAGTGCATTCATGCTCTTCCCCTTGTTCTGGCACTAGTATTTGTGTGACTGCCTAGTTTCAAAAAGACTGTCTCATGTCATTGGCTGTGCAGCTTCCAGGAGAGTACAGTCTCCCAACAGCTCTTAAAGAGCAGTCAGAATAGCTTTGTAAAAACTAGATGAGATGAGTGGCACTTTATACCCAAAGGACACAGTCCCAAAAACTAAATGAAGATCATAAGCACAGTTACTCACTAAATCTGCAGTACCTGTAGGCAAGGCTTCAAAGCAGCAAGACACAATAGGAATAATTCTGAGCTAAATTAAATTTAAGAAGAATTGCTCAACTCTGTTCTTGAAAACCTCTTGAAAAAAGAAAAAATAAAACAAGCCTAGCAACACATTGAAAATTTATCTATACACAACAGTCATATTAAAGTGATGCTGCACTTGCATTCAAAAGAAAGTAAAAATGGATTTCAGCTCAATTTCCACTCAAAACTATGTTGGTGGTTTTCGCCTAGGTGACTCAACAGTAACTTATTTGGGGGGCAAGGAAAAAACACTGGTTAAGCTGTCTGCATTATTTCACTTTTTTACTCAGCATCTTAAGACAAAATAAGTCACATAGGACAAATTACTTTCTACTTCAGAGACAGCATCCTCCACAAATTACTTCCTCATATACCATAACCTCTGTACTTAATGCCCTCCCTTCAGCTATGGAATGAAGTTATCTCTGCTGTGTGTAGGTTCTTATGATGTGTCTAACAGCATAATTTCTGGACACTCATTTGAAAACTTATCTCAAAACAAAGAATAGAAATTTACCTGAATGTAATAAACCCCCTTTTTCTGGGCATACATCATAAGAAAACAATAATCCAAGTTTTGTTTTGTTCTCCATCTGAAATAAAATTAAAAGCTTAAGGATTATGAAAAAAAAGTTATTTCAATACACACCGGCAATGCAAAGTAAATCTCACTATGAAGAATGACGCATATTAGTGAAATGTTAAGATAGCTGGTTTTGGCACTGTTCTCTCAGGAAATCCTCTGTCTGAGAAAAAAGGAACAAAGCTTTCGCCTTATGCTTTAATACAGACGTAAAACTGGTTTAACTTGAATCTGATTTTGTGAAAACTACCTGACATTTCACTAAAAACATGGGCATTTTAAATGGTAATCCAGCAGAAATTACTGGGTTTTACACTGTATTTCAGGAAGAAAAACTGTGAACAAAAGAGTCTACATACGGTAAAAAAAGTCTATCAAGTTTCAGTTCTCCCCCCAAAATTTAACACTACATGAATTCAACTAAGCATAGCATTAGGCTCTGATCATGCACAGAACATCATGCAGATAGGAATGAGGTGGATTCATAGAGCACTTTTAGCATCCCTGCACTTTCAAGAATTACAGTAAGAAAATATTTCAAGAATTCACATCCCACTTGCCATTTCATAAACAACAGAAGTACGGGTGTGGGAGGAGATGGGAAAAGATCTGGCAGAATAAACTAACCTCACTCTCTCTTTTGAGTCTCCAAATGTCTCTTTCAAGTTTGTCAAGTCAGGATAGTAAGTTGCAGGAGGGGCTATTACTTCCACCAAGCCAGAATTGATCTCTGTAGAAAACCTGTCAACAGAAACATCCTAAAGTCACGAGACATTCTGCGTTCTGTATACCTCCTGATTGCCTTCTGTTGGTACAATTACTATGTCTGGTTACAACAATGACTAATTCAAACAACGCACGTTAAATAAAAGTAGTATATAAAAAACTGTTGTTTTCCTTAGCATCTCTTTCAGAGCAGTATAGCCTCTTGCCCAATAACCAGAATTCTAACTAGATACTAAACACTTTGTTTGCCTTTCTTTTTTCAGAACCTAGTGATTTTTTTCTATACTTCTCTTTGAACATATGGAATACAAGGCCCTAACACAGATGTCACAAATTTCCACTCATGTTAAAACAATTCCATCTATTTATATTTACGTTGCACCAAATAATTTAATCCCATTTATTGTTTTACAGTTTAACTGACTAAATCACTGCCCCTTAATTTGTCATGTATTACTTTTTTGTTCGAAAGTACAAACCCCCAAGAAACAAAAATGCATTATCTCAAATTTCCAGAATACTTTTTATTACTTATCACAACCTGATCTAGGAAAAAACAAAAAGCAAACCCACCAATAAGCTAACAAATCCCCCATTAAAACTACAACTTACTCTTTTTCCAGGCTTGCAACAACACTGTTAACATAATCAAGATCAGTCTGGAAAAAAAAAAAAACAAAGAGAAAAAACAAAGAGAAAACAGTTTTGGAGCTATATTTTAAAATATCTCAGTAAAATAAACATTGGAGGTAGCTGTACTTGAAAATCAATTTCAGCATGTAAGATATTTGAGTAATACAGGAACACATCACACATGGACCTGTGTCTTATGTCTAATGGGAGAAGATTTTTTTTAAACAAGGGGAATAATATTTGCCTCATATCTGCACTTAACAGAGAGTTCCAATCCAGATGTTGGTATTTTCTTGCAAACTCTCATGCTCTTAACGACAAAATGATCACTGAGCATTTGTGTAGGAAGAACTTCATATTATTGTTATATAATAATAATACATATGGAAATATTACCAAGGAAAGCTTTCTGGAAAACAAGGCCCTCTTCTTTCAAAAATACATCTCCTAAGCTTTGCATTTAAAGCTTGCATGCCCCAAACACAGAGAGCAACGCACATGCTGTTTTCCTGGCTAGGGTTGCTTTTTTTCATCAGAGACTAAATCTGAGGGACTATCAATCCTATCGATCACATGGTTCTTAAAGATGCACAGATTCTAAAAATTACTTGTTGGCTACAACACGAATTGTGACATTCTGGAAAAGTCTAGATCACCTAACTTGCCAGAACTGGCCGATTATTCAACCTATTCACTTGGTCATACACATGCATTCCAGGAAAAGAGAGTTTGTGAACTCATAAATGTGACTGAAAACACTAATCTTTGTTATATTTACTAATCTAGTAATTTAACACAATATTTATCAGTTTTCAAAAGAAAATTTACGGTCTATAAATCAACCCAGATTCTGGTGGCTCATGAGGATTCTGGAGAAATAGCTGCCTCTGAAATGCTGTAAACAAAGGAACAGTTCACTTTCTGATTAATTTGTAATGCAGGTTATCATTAAAGGATTATACACTCAGAGAATAAATCCCTCCCAAACATTTCTATAGAACCACTAATCTTATTTGATAAAAGTGCTTACCCTTTGATCTTAAAAATCACTATTCCTATTTTTAAAGATTTATTTTTATAAAATCCAGCATAATGCCAGTGACGCACACTTTTCCAAAAAGGATAACAGTGGGTTTCTTCCAAAAGCAGGTTCTAAATGCTACAAAAACATGTGAGTAGAAAGTATTTGTCATAGATTTTTCATACATATTTTTTTCATAAGTGCTATTCCTAGTCCTGGACAGAAGTTCTAATAAGCAGATAAGGTGTTCAAAATTAAAACTCATCCTGCAATGAGTTCCACACAAGGAGACTCACAAGTCCATATGGACCATTGCAACTGGAAGCATATAGTTGGTCAAAAGCTTGTGCCTTAGTGCAAGTCTTCTTGCAGTGAACATAGTGTTGACTTATTTTGCAGATACACCATGAAGCCTTGCTAGTGCTTTTAAAACGTTACACACTTACACAGGACACACTTCAATCAGAAAAAAAAAAAAAAGTTTGGAATAAGATGGTTTTTCCCTACTTCCCTTATTTGTCTGTGTCCTTCACGCAAAAGGTTGGTGGTTTCCCAGTCAGAGCTGCAATCATGATAGCTTCACATCAAAGAGATGGAGCTTGTAGCCTTCTAACCTCAAATTGTAACTTGTGTTGCTGTCACACAAAGTCAAGATGGTCTGGTCTAGCTGCACTGAACACAAGATACAGCAAATATCACTACTGGTTTAGTAGGTAACCTTCCTTCTGAATCAACAATCACTGCATCAGCATAGTGCAAAAGGAGATGTCACTTTTAGAATAAAAAAGAACATTGAGGTTAAAAGAGTTGATGCCATTTTTCCCATGATCAAATGCATTAAAACTTGATATCCTGCCATTATTGCTAAATAAACATTTGTATTTTTATTTACCAGCAGCATCTGAGATTCAGAACCAGGATTTCAAGACCAAACTCTTCCCCTCAGGATCGCAGGTTGACTGTCATCTTTCCACACCAGAACTTCCAGAGTCAACCAACTCCTCTCATTACCAAGTCTAACGCTAAGCGGGATCTTTACCAACACCTGACAGCTGTGGACAAGTCCCAGGATGGTGACACTTGTAAGTTATTTCACACAATAAATATGAGACCATGCAATGACTTTGATCAAGCTGTGACTATACCCAAGGGAAGAATTAACTATACAGAAGACTTTGCAGGGTAGCAATGGAAGGAAATCTGGAACAGCCAGATAATTGCTCTAACCTGCTTTTTGAAGCAGTACCAATAAATTCAGCTAGTAACTGAAAAGCAGTCAAAAAAAAATCTATTCTTGATCAAAATCTATTCCCCATTTTCGAGGAAGAAAGTGTTTACTGCCTTGACAAAATAAGACCTGAAGTCCTTTTCATTAATCTGCAGGACACAAGACTGCTGATAATAATTATGAAGTATATACAACTTGAAGGAGTAATACCCTTGTCTTCTCCAAGAACCTTAAACAGGACAAGACATATCCAGATTAATGAAGTCACCCAGGAAAGACGAAGTGTAACTTTTCTTTAGGCTTCCAGTGAAATCATCTGGTAGATACAAGGTTGACTTTGGAGCAGCTATGATGAACTTAAATTCTGTTTCATGGTATCAGTGCTGCTTGCAACTGTTGAAACAAAATGTCACTGGTCATGCCAGCCAAAGCAGCACAACCCGTAAGACTACAGTTATGAGTGTTTTTGTCTACCAAACCAGAAGGCAATAACAAAAATAGAATTTTTCCTCAGTAAAAATCTTAAGGTTGTAGATTACATAATCCCTAGGAGTTTGCGACCCAAGGAAAAGAAGCAAAAATGAATATTTCAAGAACTAATCCCTTTAAAGTGATAAAATGCAAAACTGTGATAGGACACAACCAAAGAGTTAACAGTGCCAGGCACAAAGATGCATCTTATCAAGGAATCAGAGGGAAGCCTTGCAAACAAGTTCGACCTGTTAGGTGGATCTCTGGGAACTAATGAAAGACATAAGTAGGGGCGGTTATTTCAATATCAGCAGTTCAAATCCTTCTGCCTGTTCTTTCTTCCTAGTCATGTGAAATTACTGATCTCCTAGATAACGCAAGAACACTTGGAGTGAGACATCCTCCTTTTTTCATTCATACCAGATCAGACCAAAGACTGATCCAGCTCAGCATCTTGCTTCCAGCAGTGGCAGCCTTGAACAGATACATAGCACAGAATAAGAACAAGACAAGCATACACAATACTCTCTCCTGCTACCATCCACGCTCCAACTACTTTCAATCCAGGTTACTTTCTGAGACAGATGTGGTTTTTATGTATTTAATATTCCTCAGTAGACTCCTCTTCAAGGTACCTCACCAGTATGCCCTTGAGACTGTCTAAACTTTCAGCAAGAAAAGAAGATTTAGGCTTATGAAATCTAAGAAGTTTCATAAGCCTGCGAACACGGCAACATCTAAGGTTTAACTCCTTGCATAAGCAATTTTGATGAGACACAATATAGAGTGCTTTGATGAATCTCTCTAAAAGAAAACTCAGAGTCCGTTGTGGGACAAACTGAAGTTTCAGACTGTCAGTGAAGTAAGTTTTTAAATTTCCTGGTTTTGTAAGATACTGCCCTACAATTCTTTAAAGTACATTCTCTACTTTAGGTGAGGCTGCATTTCAAATTTGCAATTATTCTAAGGTTTGTCTGAACAAACATTGTTATTCATAACAAACACACAAAGAACCAGGGCAGCAATGAACTTTCCAATCTTTTTTAATGATCTTTATGAGTGAGCATGTGCATAGCAAAGTAGTAGAATATATTAGCTAGCAGACAAAAAAAGAGCTTAGAAAGTTCTGATTAACAGATACCCAACTGTCAGACAAAACCAAGATTTCTCATTTTAAGAATCAACCCTTTCATACTGTGAAATCCTACCTGTTTCATACCTTCAAGAATGCCAGAAGGTGAACTGTTTCTCAAAATGTAAGGAAAACCATGGCATTTTAGACCAAAGGTCTATTTACTGTCTTAGCCAGTAGCAGATGCATAGAAAAAAAAAATGCAATCATAGAATATCTCAAGTTGGAAGAGACCCATAAGGATCATTAAGTTCAACTCCCTGTTCCTCACAGGACTACCTAAAACTAAACCATATATCTAAGAGCATTATTCAGATGCACCTTGAACTCTGACAGGCTTGATACCGTGACCACTTCCCTGGGGAGCCTGTTCCAGGGACGAACCACCTCTTCCTAATGTCCAATCTGAACTTCCCCTGAGGCAGTTTCATTCTATTTCCTCGTGTCTTATTGCTGGTCACCAGAGAGAGATCAGCACCTTCCCCTCCACTGCCCCCCTTGAGGAAGTTGTGGGCTGCAATGAGGTCACCGCTCAACCTTCTCTTCTCCAAGTTTAACATACCAAGTGACCTCATCTGCTCCTCCTGAGTCTTGCCCTCGAGGCCTTTCACTATCTTAGCTGCCCTTCTCTGGACACACTCTAATAGTTTGATGGCCTCCTTATACTGCGGCACCCAAAACTGTACACAGTGCTCAAGGTGGGCTTGCACCAGTGTAGCGTAAAGTGCAATAAACAGGGTATGTCCAGAATGAACCTTCCTTCACTTCTTATACCTCCAGGTTCTTGGTTATCAACAGTTTATAATTCCTAGGTCTGACTGGTATCCATACCATTAGATTCAATAGCTCCTCCTGGATCTGGTCTTCGTGAATTTGCCTGATTCATTTCAGAACCCATCCACTCACTCGTATTTCACAATATCCCAGTACCAACAAGATCCACAATTTAGCTACATACCAAGTGAAAAAATACGGTCTTTGTTTTAGATCTTGCCTCTTAATTTCATTTACCACCACCTAGATTGCACCTGTATCACCATCTCAAAAATGAGAATCAGTTCTAATCCACATATGTAAAAACCAAACAAGCAAAACAGTTAAGTCCAAAGAGGGCTGCAGACAGACTGACACAGAGCCAGAGCAAGCATACAAACACTTTGCATCAGGCAATACA